CCAAGTTACTTTAAGCCATAGTTCTTAAAGCATGATCTCCAGACCAGCATCATCAGTCACACCTAGGAACCTATTACAACTACAAATTCTTAGGCTCTGCTGGAGACCAGCTGAGTAAGAAACTGGGAGTGGGGCTCAGCCATTTATTTTGAACAAACCCTCAAGATGATACTGATGAATACTTATGTTTGAGAAATACTGTGTTAAACCATATTTCTTAACTTTGGCTTCATAGTAGAGCCACCTAAGGAGCTTTCCTCTGTCCACTCTTATTATGATTGGTCTGGAGTGGGACAAGTGACAGGGATCTTGATTCTAATGCATAATCAGAGTTGAGAGCCACAGCTCTGAACTTGTTTGTGTATAAAATGGGGGAAAATAATACTTAGGGCTATTGTAGGGATTGATACAACTTACAGTAAGAGTGAAGCAGGCCAGGTGACTCAACGCCTATAATCCCAGCACTTTGGGAGGCTGAGTTGGGTGGATCACTTCAGGTCAGGAGTTTGAGACCAGCCTGGCCAACATGGCAAAACCCCGTCTACTAAAAACACAAAAACTACCTGGATGTGGTGGCAAGCGCCTGTAGTCCCAGTTACTCGGGAGGCTGAAGCAGGAAAATCACTTGAACCCAGGAGGCGGGGGTTGCAATGAACTGAGATTGTGCCACTGCACTCCAGCCTGGCAACAGAGCCAGACACTGTCTCAAAAAAAAAAAAAAAAAAAGAGTGAAGCAGGGTGTCTAGTAAATGGTGAAGCACTTGACAAATGATACTGATATAATGATACTCAAGAGAGACTAGAGCTACATCATCAGGTCATGAAGACACTGGGACTTCGAGGGCTAGACATTTATAGCTGTATGATCTTGGCCTCGGTCTCCTCATCTGCAAAATGGGGATACTTATCACATGTGGGGGCCAAATAAGATATAGCCTACAAAGCACAATGTATTAAACACTCCAGAAATGCTGGCCTTATCTGCATTTATTGCTTTCCTGCTTGGGAAGTCATTCCTGATGATGCAAACATTGACCTCTTTTATCTCTAACTCCCTTATTAAATATTAACTTGTTACTAGTTCGGTACTTAACCTACTGGCCATTTCTCAGGTATTTTCAGACTGGAGCTCTTTTTAGATTTATCTGTGTCCTAAAACTTTCAATTTCTGTTTAGAATAATTTTTATTCTAAACTCAAAGGGCCAATCAATAGTTGTGTGGCTCTATCAGGAAAATGATTCTGCATTGAGCACTAACTTAGATTGTCTGAGACAGTGCTAGGTAGAGCTCAGTCTTCTGCATCAGAGACACAGAAAGTTCTCCATAAACGAATCCATCCTTTCAAAAAACACACATTTCCTTAAGTAGAATGAAAAAGGTCTTAGAAGCTACATTGGTTTAACACTAGTCTCTACTTTAATGTGAACCTGTAATATTGCCACATCTTCAATTAAGTGACAAAATTGCATCTGGGTAGTTTTATAACCCTTCTCTCCATTTTGCTGCCTTTATGGCATTTAAAAAACATTTCACTGTTTTATGTTCAGCATAAATGTTTTACTGTTTTCCAAGTTATCTTAATATCCAGGGCTGGACAGCCTCTCTGTTTTATCTAAGCCTTCTTGAATGTAATATTGTTTGTTTTGCTGATTCTTTTTTTTTTAAAGAAATGCTTTCTTCTGAGCTTTTCTTGAGTACTTAAGGAAAGCCATGAAGACAGAGTTGGCAGGATAACAGATGTTCCCCCCTATTTATTGCTCCTGAGGTTTGTTCCCTGCTCTAAATCTCTAAAATTAGGCACATAGGAGTTTGGGAGAAATGTGTGATAAAAGAGAGACAGGGTGAAGCAGGCAGAATTTCAAATTTTGATTTATTCTTTCTTGGAAGATGATTTACAAATACAAGCATTATGGTTATAGATGTTTAAATACATGCCTTATGTTTGTCTTGAAACGCACACATATATGGTGCTTAAAAAAAATAAACTTCTGGAGCCCCAAATTACATAAATAATAAGATGTTACCTCTCATCTACCTCCTCTTCCTGAACTTATCATGCTTCTTGTAACTGTGGGGAACTTTATATTTTTAGCAGATATGTGTCAGTGCTGCTACGAAAATCGTGCTAGTAAGATACAGCGGTACTTACTAGTCACACAGTACACTATATGTAAAAGCTTTTAACTTTTTTTTTTTTTAAGTTGGGGTTTCACCACGTTGGCTAGGCTGGTCTTGAACTCCTGACCTCAGGTGATCCACCCACCTCAGCCTCCCAAAGTGCTAGGATTACAGGCGTGAGCCACCACGCCCGGCTAAGTTTTTAACTTTTTGTAATTTACAGAGTCCTTTTCACAAATATCTTATTTCATTAATCCAATCGAGTATTACGATTTTATAGAGAAGGAAAGAGGTTCAAAGAAGGTAACTGAATTAAGGTCACATAACCAGTAAGTACACTATGTCACAAACCTATACTTTTGAATCCAAAACCCAGTCTTTTTACTATGTTATGCTGAAATCGAAGGCAAAATGGCCTATGCACACTAATCCCCAAACATTAGAAAGCACCAATAGTTTAGGTTTTGACCAGAGAAATCCAATTAAACAAACTAGCTAGTCTAAACTTGGAGTTAAAGATTTTTTCTGAATACACTTAGTATCCATCTTAACTGTTGATCACTGGTGTCCTGAAATTGGACTTCCCTGCTGTCAAGAGTTAACTTTTCCTTATCTTCTATTAATATGTTCTAGCTGGTCCATGGTAGTTCTGTACAGGCTGTTTTGAGTCACACAGCTTGCTCTATCAGTTGAAGGTATCGTTTATGTACAAATATATTTTAGCTTTCATTTCTGATTTTCAGCCTGGATCAGTGGCATACTGATCTACTGCTGCATTATCTACCAACTTCCCTGTCAACCATTGCTAAGGCTCACTGCAGGGTCAGGGTCTGAGATCTCACTGAAGCTCTTCCACTGGCAAACCAATACATCGTTTCTTTACTTGTTTTCTGACTCAAGTCTGCTGTTATAACGTAATGCAGTTATTCTCTTTAAATTATCATGCGAATTCTCTTAAGTTCCTCTTACATTCAGATCTTTTCCAAAAGCTGGAGATCACATAATTCAAACATCTACTTAGCTACACTGGGGTCAGGCTGAGAGCTTGTTTCTCAGTCCAACATCCTGGGGTGATCATCCACCTACACCTGGCTCAGCTGCATTGGCCAAGAATAATAGTGCATCTGCACTTTTCTAAGCACATTTCTGAGATCTTGCCAATACTTTGTAACACACACATGCTCATTCACACAATCTTAGGGACTAAGTCTATTTGTCTCTGTATCCTCTACACCTATTATGTGTCAGGCATGTAGCAGGTGCTCAGTAAAAAGTTCTAAATGAATTCTCAAGCCTTCTGCTGGAATTCACTTTTTTAAATTTAATTTTTTTAGACACCATCAAGCTGTTAGGAATTCACTTCTATCAGATACAAACCACCCAATTTTAGTTTAGTTCTTTTTTTTAAAAAAAAACAGGCTATAAAATAGGCCCTAGGCATACTATCTGGATTAGGTATCTTTAAAAGTAATATTCATTTAAACATATGTACTGGAATTCTTTCTACTTCAGAAATCATACATACTATACATACTCTTGCCTATGCACTTTGTTCTCTTTATCTGAGAAGTAGAAGCAGGGGTTAAAAGTACTTTAGTGCAATAACATGCATATAGTTGACACTACTGTACACTTAAATGTGATTAAGATCACTAATTTTATGTTGTTACCACAATATAAAAGGTTATTAAAAATTTTACTGGACATGCTAAAGAATTAGAACAACTCTTGGAAAAAAAAATCAGAAAAGGCCTCACAATTTCTTTGGAAACTCATTGCTGGAATACAATAAAACCAGCAGTGAGCTACTCAAATCTGTACAACAGTCATCTCTCAGAGAAATAACTTCTGGTTATGTTCAAGCTGTTTCACAGAATTGGCAAAGCCCTTCATGATCTGGCCTCTATTTTCTTATGGCCAGCCATGAACAAGTCAGTGTTCTTTTATTTTTAAATGGAGTCTTGCTCTGTCACTGAGGCTGGAGTGCAGTGGCGTGATCTCAGCTCGCTGCAGCCTCCACCTCCCGGGTTCAAGTGATTCTCCTGCCTCAGCCTCCTGAGTAGCTGGGATTACAGGCACGCACCACCATGCCTGTCTAATTTTTGTATTTTTAGTAGAGATGGGGTTTCACCATGTTGGTTAGACTGGTCTCCAACTCCTGACCTCGTGATCCACTTGCCTTGGCCTCCCAAAGTGCTGGGATTACAGGCGTGAGCCACTGCACCCAGCCAACAAGTCAGTATGTTTTGAACAGACAATTTCTTCATATCTTAGGGCTTTGGAAATGGTACTCTCTGCCTCAAATACCTTTCTCACCATTTTCCTTTTGGCTACCTCTTATTTATCCTTCAGCTTAAATATCATTTCTTTAGGGAAGCTTTATTTAAATTCCCTAATGTGGTTTGGGCTTCTGGCTATCTCTCTCTGCATCCATCCATCCATCCATCCATCCTTCCTCTTACAGAGCCTTTTTCCTTTGTAGCATGTAATACAATTATATGTAATTATGTAGTACATACAATTGTATGTAATTAATTCCCTCCCATAAGACTGAAACTTATACGAGGTAGGGAGTATTTCTCTTGCTAACCACTTGTATTACCAGGGCCCCAGTCAGTATCTTGTACAGAGCAGGTATACAACACTTCCTTTTAAAAGATATTTACCCTACAAATTCATCTTAATAGGTTTCTCAAAGGAGTAGGTGAAGAGGCACAGAAAGTTTGTGAGCTTGGTGGTGGAGACAGTGGCTGAAGGGCCCGAGATGAAAGAAGTTAGGGCTGGGTGAGTAAGCAAGAAGGGAGAAATGAGAACATTATAGGACGCTCACTTAATAAAGTTTCCCCTCCATTCCCCAGCATCCCACCCCACCCCAAACAAATCATCAAACAATAACTTATTTATTCATTTCATTAGAGAACTAGGTAAACATCACATTACATGGCCAAGGCCAAAGTAATTTTGCACAGTTAGAATGTGTTCAAGAAACCAGCCACAATTTAACTGGATTAGAATTCAAGAAGGATATGACTGTGTTCCTCCAAATAACCTTCATTTAGGAAGATGACATTCCTCCAATATGTGGAAGGACAATAAATGCACTTTCTTCTCTCTGTCACTGAGGAAGAAATTCTCCCTCTTGAGGGACCAAAATTATTTCCTTTTTGCTGCTCTTTTCCCTTCTCCTTTCTTTGGTTTCCCCTTTCCACGAAGGTTCTTTAGTCGTTTTTGCTCATCCATAAAATCCTGATGCTCATCTCTGAATGAAGAAGGAAAAAATAATTAACCAGTTGTTTTTACAAGAGTAGAAAAGTATACCAATCTAGCACTGCTCTCTTAGGTCATTCTGGTTATCAATCTTTGACTTTTATAAGATGGCCACATGCTCAGCTTGGTGAACAAAAAGTACAGGGGGTCCCTAACATACAGATGCGGTGTGTTCCAAAAATTCGCTTATGAATATGTTTCCCCTCACAGAAACAGTGCCACAAGCTGCAATGAAATTCTCAGGCCAGCCCATGTAAACCTACATAACAATGACACAACACTAATGATTACCCCCAATTTCCCTGCAGCACTAAGACAAAACACAGAAAGGAGAAAAACTGGGTATCAGCTTCAACAGCTACACAGAGACCCTGACTGCCCTAGGAACTAGTATGTACTAAGAATGGGGTGAGGTCCAGAGGAAGCTCAGCCTGGCCAACATGGTGAAACCTTAATGGCAGTGGGTGACTCACGCAAAAAGGCTGCTGGGGAAAGGCTCAGGCAGAAGGAAGTCAAATCAAAAGATACTAAAGGAATCAAGGTACCCAGGACTATGTAAGTATGTGGATGGTGTACAAGTTGAAGACTGCTTATACTGTAAAAGAAGTCTACATCTTAAGCCCAGATACCTAAAGAATGATACAGTGTTTAAACATGTAAGCTCTGGAATGTGAACCTGGGTTCAAATCACAGCTCCACCATTTACTAGATCTGTCGCCTTGAATAAGTGACCTTACCTCCCTGCACCTTAGTTTCCTCACCTGTAAAGTATGGATAATAACAGTGTATGAATCAAATGTAAGAGAGGGGTTTGCTGAGCTTAATTTCTAACTCTCTAGGCTATCCATGAATATCATGGACAGTATACAACTCTGTGGGATTAGTGGTGAGTATCCCCAAAGAATTCTCAACAGTGCAGCTGGAGTAATTCTTCCAAAATATAAGTCAGATCATGCCACTCCTGTTCATAGCCCTGCAAATGGTTCCCCATGTCACTCAGAGCAAAAGCCATCATCCTTACTATGGCCTCACAGCCCCTTGCAATCTGTCTCCAGTCCCACACCCTCCCAGTAGCCTGCACTCCTCCTGGAATGGAATACTCCCACCTTAAGGCCTTTGCTGCGCTCCTGCCCCTCTGCCTTGCCAGCTCTTCCCCAAGTCCTACTCAGCTCACTCGCCACCTCCAAGTCTCTGCTTAAGCCTCAACTCCCCAACGAGGCTGACCCTGACTGCCTGTTTCATCCTGTAACTTGGCCTCTCCCCACCCACCGCAGGCCCTGTCAGCTCTCTGGATCCTGCTCAGCTGGCTCTACTATTTTTTACCATAGTACGTTCAACTTTGTAACAGATCATATAATTTACTTATTATTATTATTATTATTTTCCTTCCCTTCTTCTCCCCCTCCCTCATTCTCATCAACCATTGGACAGAAAGATAACTTTCTGGCGACTCTGTCTCTGTTGATGATATAAGCTAGGCACCTGGTTAACTGAATGAATCAATTGTTTCTGAGCACCGGTGCTTCCCTCCCTCTTGTGCAGGTCTCTGAATAATATTTTCTTTATTGGAGACTGTCTAGTTTCATCCTGCCTGATGCCACAGGAGGTCTGGCATCTTGGAGGTGCCATTTACCATACCTAATGAGTACATGAAAATATTTCTGGTTTTCTACAGATAAAGTAGTTTTTCCCTGTCTTTAAAGATAGCTAAGTCTTTATTTTTTCAAACAAACAGAGAGCAGCAGCAAACAGATAAATTAAAATAACTGAATCTGATTTTTTCATGGGTTACAATCTTCTACTCAGGATATCTGTCTCCCAATATTTTATTTTGAGTTATAATAAAATTAGTTTTTATTTTCTAAGCCTGGAGGTAGTCCCAAAGCAATTCCAAACATTCAAAACATATCATAGATGATAACCTCTAATAATACGTTAGCCAAGCAAATCTATTTTGTTCGCTGCTATTCCCCTAGTGCCATCTTAAGTACCTGCACATGGAAGGTACTTAAAAAATATCCATTGGATAGTGAATGTACCAATCTTTAGCTATCTGGAATGAATGTCATCCTGTACTATTAATTCTATTGTATTAGAATAAGTGATTCCAAATAATTTTTGTATTGTTGCCCAAAACAAGTCCAATTACAACTTGTTACATTTTTAATAAGATGGTAGGTATTTTAACTTTATACAATTATGTACTATTTGAATTCTTTGTAATGAACATATTAAAAAAAATAATATTTTTTCTTTTTTTTTTTTTGAGACGGAGTCTCTCTTTGTTGCCCAGGCTGGAGTGCAGTGCTGTGATCTCGGCTCACTGCAACCTCCACCTCCTGAGTTCAAGTGATTCTCCTGCCTCAGCCTCCCAAGTAGCTGGGATTACAGGCATTCACCACCAAGGCTAGCTAATTTTTGTATTTTCAGTAGTGATGATGTTTCACCATGTTGGCCAGGATGGTCTTAAATTCCTGATCTCAAGTGGTCAGCTGCCTTGGCCTCCCAAACTGCTGGGATTACACGTGTGAGCCATCACACCTGGCCAAAGAAATAATTTAATGAAAATGATCACATAGGTATTTGATTTTTTTTTTGAGACAGAGTCTTGCTTTGTTGCCCAGGTTGGAATATAGTGGCATGATCTCGGCTCACTGCAACCTCCGTCTCCTGGGTTCAAGTAATTCTCCTGCCTCAGCCTCCGAAGTAGCTGGAATTACAGGCGCGTGCCACCATGCCCAGATAGTTTTTGTATTTTTAGTAGAGACGGGGTTTCAACATGTTGGCCAGGCTGGTCTCAAACTCCTGACCTTATGTGATCTGCATGCCTCGGCCTCCCAAAGTGCTGGGATTACAGGCATGAGTCACCGTGCCTGGCCTGATCTTTTTTCTTTCTAGAGACGCATACAGTCCTAAGCACCTACTTCCTAGTACCAACACATGGTATTAAGAGCCTGTGTGATTTACATATTATCCTTAGAGGCAAACTACAGCTTATCAAGACCAAGTTAATATATCAAAAAGTATACAAAAGAAAAATGCCAGAAAAGAGTAGGAAGAAATAAGAGAATGTCAACAAAAATGCCACCAGAAGAGAAAAAAGCCTCCACATACCAGTTACGCAACAGATCAGGTGGGGGTCACTCTGTTCATCTGATAACAAGAGCCCACTGCCCTGGCAGCCTTGGTGTTTCTGGGGCTTTTACTGCATCTCCCCTGCCCCCTCAACTGCCGAGACAGAATCTGGCTCTGTCGCCAGGCTGGAGCGCAGTGCTGCGATCTTCGCTCACTGCAACCTCTGCCTCTCAGGTTCAAGCGACTCTGCTACCTCAGCCTCCTGAGTAGCTGAGACTACAGGCGCGTATCACCACGTCCTGCTCATTTTTGTAGTTTTAGTAGAGAGGGGGTTTCACCATGTTGGTCAGGCTGGTCTCCATCTCTTGACCTCATGATTCACCCACCTCGGCCTCCCAAAGTGCTGGGATTACAGCCACCGCACCCGCCCTCTCTACATCCTTTTTAGAGTGCTCCTAGATTAACAATTATTAAACACCTCTCTACAGCTCAGTATCTATTCAACATTAGTCATGTTGTAGACATAATTAAAATATGTCTTCCAACAAGCATGACTTTCCCTTTTTTTTGGTCTCTCCATTATGGGTATTTTGAAAGAAGCCTTTCTCCTGCAAACTGTACCTTTTGAACTACCTGGGCTCTAGTATAAGAAAGGCTAATTTTTTTTTTCCTTTTCTGATCTATTAAAAAAAAGCCTCTCATACGTCCCTCTCTGTGTTTGTCATCACCTGTAGAGTCCCAGAAGCCGGAGTGTCCGCATGAGTCCAGAGTAAGTGTGGTGATCTGGATACCAGTCATAAGTCTCCTTCTTCTTGGCCAAGGGAAGTTCACTGAACAGTTTCACCACTTTCATAGACTTGGAATCAGTAGGCCTGGCGACTTCACCAAATAGCCGAGCACTGAGACGAGACATGCGCAAGGCATATTCTGAAAGGGAGGACATTTCTTGAGTGGCAAGGAGTTAGAATTCCTATAGAAAATGAGAAGAAAGATACAGGTTAGGGTGAGAAATGCCAAGATTACCTAATGAATACTTTAGAAAATGAAAACACAGCAAACCACTCATGGTTGAGTGCAGTGTTAGCAGGATATGCCTTAGAGTGGAGAACAGCCACAGTTCAAATGGCTATTTCCTTCCCATGCTTGACGTCTGCGATTTTTGCATTTTGTGTTTATATGCTGTTACTTCCTTGCTGTACTGCCTCTTTCACAACCAACTATTTTGTAATTCACCAGGTTAATTGACTGACTGTTTACCTATTTGTAGGCTGGGGATGAAGAAGACAGGGAAACAAGTTATCCTAGTCCAGCATTATTATACCTTCAGAAAACACCCACCTAAGCAATCTGCAGCATTAATATGCTGACTGCTTGCCATCAAAAGGTGTAATCATGGCAGAGACATAATTACGCTGTTGTTTTTACTATCAGTCCTTTGAACACTGTTCTCCTCAAGTGCTCCAGATGGCTCTGAGAACTGCTAATGAGTTATGAGGTCATTTGGCTTCTAGGTTACTGAAGTGAATTCTGCCTAGAGACTGAGAGCATTTGGGAAAAACAAATAGACAGTAGCCCTATAGAAATAAATCCAATAGCTCAAAAGATTCATTTTCTTAAAAACAGAAGGCATGTATGAATTGTGAGATTGCTTCTATCTTATATATTCTGCTTTAATGCAAACTAGCTAACTTTTTATCAGCTGAAAACAGTAGCTTTTTCTTCAGAGGGACACAACACTGAAACAGGTATAAGAATGATATCCATGATATGCACAAATTACAGCTAATAGATATAAAAAAATATACAGGGAATACATAAAAATCAAGAAAGCTGCTGGTGGAATAAATATCTCAACTCAGTTTGAACTAGATGTAGGGGTTATTGTTGGCCGAATATGCCAATTTATGAGAAATTGTAGTAGTGAGATGAGAATCTTTGCTGAGTCAAAGACTATCTTGGGAAACAGTTCAGCTGAGATGAAAAGGTGCTGATATTCAGGCAGGAAAAAGGCATAAACCTTGAAAAACCAATGGGAGGAATGTACCAAAAAACCCTCCTACATAAAAATGGTGCCAAGTGAATTTCAAAATAGTTCAAGAAAACAAACCGTGTTTAAATCAAGGAAGTTTTAATGCCTATTTCAAGATCCATTAACAGAGGAGGCTGGGCATGGTAGCTCATGCCTATAATCCCATTATTTTGAGAGGCTGAGGTAGGAGGATCGCTTGAGGCCAGGCCTTCAAGACCAGCCCAGGCATCATTGTGAAACCTTGTTTCCACAGAAAAAAAAATTAAAGAAAATTAGTCTGGTATGGTGGTGCACACCTGTAGTCCCAGTTACTCGTAGATGCTAAGGTGGGAGCATTGCTTGAGCCCAGGCATTTGAGGGTTACACTGAGATATAACTGTACTATTGTACTCTATAGCCTGAGTGACAGAGCAAGATTGTGTCTCAAAAAAAAAAAAGCAGAGGCTGATCTCAAATTGTCAACCTCAAAACTATTCAGAACACCAGCCAAGCAATCTTGGGTCAATAGTGCCACCTGAAGGCTGATAATGGTAGAACTGTCAGATCCAAGGTCCACCCCTCCCCAGCATCTCATGACCTACAAGCCTGTTCTTTTTTCCATTCAGCATTCTCAGTTCCCTGATTCACTTCTTTCCCAATTCTGGTTGGGGTGGGGTTGTTAGGTCTACGGTTATATTCTCAAGGTGAAAAAAAGTCATTTAACAGTTTAATGTGTAAACAAATCAGTGCCATAAATCTCTAAAAAGCCTTGCAAATGTCTGGAAGTCACCTAGTTTCTTTGCATGCTTTTTCTCTTCCTTTGCCCTTTAAAGTTATCTTTTTCCAAACACTAGATTGAAAAATAACAGTTTCTTCCTCAACTTGCTTTGTTTTGCTTAATTACCATTGTGGCATCAGAATACATTTCTGCTGTAATTGCGTGGTATTTCCACAGTTAGTTATTTGTAAGCTTGTCTGGGAACTATCATTTTGTGACAGTGTTTTCAGGAAAATATGTTCTGAATTCCAAGTCACTTTATTTGTAAATAAAGAGGCAACAAGGAATCCTGAGGTCTAGGTTTGACTACTGGATCTGTCACTTAATCCTTGGGTTGTTGTGAACAGTTACTCATCCTCTCTAAATCTGAGTTTCCTTTTCCGAAAACAAAGCTTGCAGGACTAGTGTGAGAATGAGTAACAGCGGCACTCAGTAAATGGTAACTTACAAAAAAGAAAGAACTTAGAACTGTAAGTGTGGTGTTCATATGTTCTACACAGATACATTTGTTTATTCCTTGTTCTTAATCACATTAAAAAGGGAGAGAGAGACAGATAGACAGACGTACTCCAGATAGTAAAACTTTGTGCCTCCCTGGAATGATGACCTCACTTACAAAGGCAGCCAGGAGGAGGAGGGAACTCAGTAGGGCAGTAGTCACTGAAGCCATCACAGAATGCTGTTATCTCCATGCCCATTTTGGAATGTGGCAAATTACTGGGATACATAACTTGTAAGTAAAAAGGTCACATTAGAATCTGCTGGAACATGGGTATATCATAAAATCCAAGCCCTAAAATTTTATGTTGGAGAAAGGGAAAAACCTGAATCCCTTACTAGAAACAAAGGCCCATTTGCTAAACAGGAGGAAACTGAAAGTGGTTTTAACAATTAGCAGTGACACTGCTTTGTCGTTTCCTTCCACAGTGAACGGACACATGTTTCTCAAGAAGAATGACAAGGGAGCTTTTCTTATCATTTGCATGTCAATTACATTTTGATTCACACGAAACCATTCTCAGAGAGTACAAAACAAGTCATTTTAAGTGTTACCTTTTTAAAAATGTGAACCAAAGAAAACTGTAATATCATGAAGAAAAGTTAACTGGAGCTGAAAATGCTAAGCAAAACCAAATTACTCAAATGTGCCGAGAAAAACAAATTAAGCCCACATGAGAAGAAAATTCCCATATTTTTACTTTGGCATAAAAGGGCAAATTTCTTTGATCTTTTTGATAGGTCTGATGCATTGAAAAGATCAAGTTTATTTCAATAAGTACCTTTGTATTAGGTTTGCCTTTTCTTTTTGAAAGGTAAAGATGAAGTGCAAGAGTTCTTAATATAGGTGTGCTTCAGCGTTTTGAAAACTGGAAGTGTAAATCTGTATGCTGATTGTGTGTGTGTGTGTGTAAATTGTTCTGAGAGAACTTTCTCCATTTTCTCAAAAACCATTGGTTAGCAGAATGCACCACCTGCAGAAGAAAAAAGCTGGTAGGAGTCTCGCTTCTGCCTTTTAATGGCCACGACGTTTTTGTAATGGTGCTAATCCTCTGCCAGGTTCTCTCATCGACTACACGAGGACAGTCATACTACCTGCACTGTGAGGCTAACATGCAAAACTCACCGCACAGTGCCTACCAAGGAACTCACATACAGTGTACACACGTTGTCACAGAAACAGTCTAAACATAAAAACAATCTAAACAGAATGCTTAAAAAGCCCGGTACCGATTATTTTACAGGGTCATAGAGGCATCAGCGGCATTGAAAACGTATTAGCTGCATTCAGTTCAGCAAGAACAATCTTCACCTCCCTCCACCTGACTCGACCATGCCTGCCTGTGATGGGAACTGTAGTAGTGTCAAATAAACCGACATCTGACTTGGGAGCGCATTTCGCAAATATTTTTCTTAAATATCACGTTACTGTCTTTTTCTTAAGGTGGTTACAAAATTAATCTGCAGTCCACCACCCAAAACTACAGTGCCTAAGGCCGTGTGGTGAGCAGAGAAACTGAGCCTTCTACTGTTAACCAATCTGGAAGAGAGTAACTGCGCTTGAGAGGAAATTACGGTAGCAGTAACGCGGGTGTCCTTCGTTTAACAAATCCCCCAAATGAAGCAGGAAAAGGCCAAGTTATTTGTGTGATGCACGTGAATCGCCAGAGCTGGTCACTAATGAAATGGATTCGTCCTATTCCTGGCGACTCTACAAGGTTGGAGCCTCCCGTAGACCTCTATAGCCATCGCCCCTCACTGCAGACCCCCCAAAATCACCAACAGCCTTACCTGAACCTGACCTTTCTCACCCCTGCGTCCTTATCCCGGAAGACCCGCCCCCTATCCGGTTCCAAGCTCGCACTGGCGACTGCTACGGGGAGCAGTAGAGAAACGGAAGCTTGGCGGCTAGAGCAGAGCTCTAGTGAACGACCCGGAGTTACTATCGCCCCCTCTTGAGGCGGCCGAGGTGCACTTGGCGCCTGCGCAGTCAGGCTAGCGCCGCCGCCGGTGCGGTGGACCCCAGGAGGTTGTGGGCTGAGGAGAGTGAGCGAGGATTGGCTCTCTTGGAAAGGGCTTGTAGGGCTCGGTAATATATTTTGTTGGGAACGGCTACAGACTTACCCCTAAAAGCTCGGAAGCAATGGCAATGCGTGTGCTGTGTGGTCTTTCTGACCGACCTTCGGCGCCATTCTCCTCCCCTTCCATCTATCTGCTCATCCTCTAATAGTTAAGTAGGATCACTTGGCGCAAGCCTTCCTTACTACCCCTACGCTGGGTTTGGGGCACTTTTCCTCAGTGGCCCAGGAGCTTCTTCAGGGAGTAGGGATGGAACATTTTGCCTCCTCGGTAGCTATCTAGACATCGCTGGGCAGATAGTAGAAGACACTGTATTTCAGTCCATATTAAATGTTTTCAAGCAAGCCACATCCCATAGGCATTGTATGCAGGATGTACAATGTTTGATAGTTTGGCTGAGGAAACAGTACTCGCTTTCTGAGCATCGTTCAAGGTATTTCATAAATATTCCAAAATACACCTACCTACAGGGTATTGTATTTACACCCTCTTTCCTCCTACAGAATTTACTTTTAAGTTAGAATTTGACGTCTAATCAATCTATGCTACAGGATTTGCTTTTATCAAGTTTTTACATGTTATTTATATGATATAGTAAAAAACCTTATAAATTTGGGTCTAGTGACTACATTTACGTTTACAAAGGGGTAACGAGTATACTATGCGTGGCTACAGTTCAAAATAGAAGTCCTAAGGAACGAAACTCCTGGGAAAAATTTCATCTGGTCTTTTGTACTAGTTTCTGTGGAGTTGGCTTGTTTTTATCTAATGGCCACTGAATCATATAAACAAGAAGACTTCCTTTGCATGTAAGTTGCTGGTTTAAAGCCAAATTTTAATTGGCTCGAGGCAAGAACTATTATATATATATTATGTATAATATATATATTTTACATATATATGCATAAACCTTGTTGGCTTCGTTTTGTATAGCCATCTTGTTTTTCCCTTTTCACCTATGAATTGTGTTATTAGTGTTTTGTGAGTTACTATAAGCTACCATGAATCTTTCTTGAAGCATAACTAGGTATAAAGAGTTTCAGGTGACTGTTTAGGTACTTTGCACTATCACTTTTATTAAGTCAATTTTATGGGGTTCATATTAGTTTCCTGAGGCTGCGATAACAAAATACCACAAACTTGGTAGTGTAATACAACTGAAATTTATTCTCTCAAGGTTCTAGAGGACATAAATTCAAAACCAGTATCACTGGGCCAAAATCAAGATATTGACAGGGCTGTGTTCCCTCCAGAGATTCTAGGGGAGAATCAGTTATTTTACTCTTCCAGCTTCTGGTTGCTACTGGCATTCATTGGCTTGTGGCCACATCACTTTAGACTTTAAGGCCAACATCTTCAAACCTCTACTCCCTCTTCACGTTACCTTCTCTACATGTGTCAGATTTCCCACTATCACCTTTTTAGGATATGTGTAATTGCATTGAGGACCCACAGAGCTAATCCAAAATACTCTCTCAATCTGAAGATCCTTAATTTAATCACATCTGCAAAGGCTCTTGCCCCATGTTTGGTAACATTTGCAGGTCCCAGAGATTAGAATCTGATACCTTTGGGGAACAGTTTCAGCCTACCGCAGGAATGGAAGGAGCAAGCCTCTGAAATTGGCCAGAGAGCGTTACTGACCAAAAGCAAAGTTGGAATATTAGGGATGGAAAAATGAAATTAATAAAATAAAATTGAACCTCCTATGGATATTGACTTCACCAGACCTTGGCTTACCCACTTATACCTCCAGGATAAGGTATTTTTAAGAATACTTTATAATCAGAGATTGTTTATAAATCAGATATTGCCTTATATATTTCTGTTTTCTATAGTCCTATGGACTGTGAATTATTAGCTGGCTGTGAAATCAATTTAATGAATAGAGATCGGCATTAAAAGAAAGACACGATACAAAATATCAAAATGCATCACATGTAGTAGAGGTAAGTATTATTTCATGAAACAATATGTATATGTGTATTGAATCATAATGTAAATATATTTCTTGCTGTAGGTTGTGGTAAAATGGAAAGCCTCCACTTTAAGTGATTTCATTATTCATCATACTCTTTGGCAAATGTTCTTTGTCATTAGGAAGAGCAAGAATTAAAGCTACATCAACTTAAGTTCTTATGGTATGGCATAGTCGAAGGGGCAGGGGAATATTTATTGCTTTAAGTAAATAAATTTACAGATACCCTATTTCCTTTTATTTTCTTTTCTTTTTCTTTTTTCTTTCTTTTTTTTTTTTTTTTTTTGATGGAGTCTTACTCTTGTTGCCCAGGCTGGAGTGCAGTGGTGTGATCTTGGCTTACTGCAACCTCTGAATCTCAGGTTCAAGTGATTCTCCTGCCTCAGCCTCCCAAGTAGCTAGGATTACAGGCATGCACCACCTTGCCCAGTTAATTTTGTATTTTTAGTAGAGATGGGGTTTCTCCATGTTGGTCAGGCTGGCCTCAAACTCCCAACCTCAGGTGATCCACCCACCTTGGCCTCCCAAAGTGCTGGGATTACAGGCGTGGGCCACCACACTCAGCCAGATACCTTATTTTCATAAATACTCTTTTTTTTTGAGATGTAATCTTGCTCAGTTGCCTAGTCTAGAGTGCAGTGGCCCGATCTCCGCTCACTGCAGCCTCCGCCCCCTGGGTTGAAGCAGCTCTCCTGCCTTAGCCTCCTGAATAGCTGCGACTACAGGTGTGTGCCACCATACCCAGCTAATTTTTGTATTATTAGTAGAGACAGGATTTCACCATGTTGATCAGGCTGGTCTTGAACTCCTGACCTTGTGATCTGCCTGCCTTGGCCTTCCAAAGTGCAGTGATTACAGGCTTGAGCCACTGCGCCCAGCCCATAAGTACTCTTTCTTAGCATCATGTAGGTTCCTTTTTACTTCTGCATTTACAATAGTTCTTGCAGCTTACAAAAGAAAGGTATATCCATCACGCAAGGTCTGAGGGATATACCTTCCAGGATGACAAACAAAAGGACAATTAAAAATGTTTTGGAGGAAGCTTCCTCTAATGGTCAATCAAGGCACCATCAACCCTTCTTAGGCTCCATGTCCCTTCCCATTTTACATATATTCCATTTAGGGGTGAAGTGTGACTGTCAGAAATATGGTAATTGGTTTGTTGTGATTTTCTGAAATCAGATGTACTGTGTGAATGTTAGTGGTGAGAGCGACAGTAATTTTCCTTTAATCATCAGATCTCTTCCATCTTCTGTTGAAAAATACATTGCTTTTGAAGGAGAGTTTAGTGAGAGCAGAGCAAAGCAGCATTGAAAAAAGTATCGAAGCCAATTTTTTTTCCTGTATATTTAAACCTAAGCAATTCTTTTCAGCTATTCTCAGTACTTCTGCATAGGATGTGTCATTATCTGGAAAGAAAGGCAGCTCTAAACAGCTGAATTAGTGGAGCTTTCTGACAGATTTTTTGTTTTTTGAGACCGAGTCTCATTCTGTTGCCCAGGCTGGAGTGCAGAGGCATGATCTCGGCTCACTGCAACCTCTGCCTCCTGGGTTCAAGCAATTCTCATACCTCAGCCTCCTGAATAGTTGGGATTACAAAATTAGCCACCACGCCCAGCTAATTTTTATATTTTTAGTAGAGACAGAATTTTGTCATGTTGGCCAGGCTGGTCTCAAACTCCTGACCTCAGGTGATCCACCTGCCTTGGTCCCCAAAGTGCTGGGATTACAGATGTGAGCCACCACACCTGACCGTGACACTGATCATTATAAATATTATACAGATTATTTTCAGGGACCTTCATATTTTTCACATTGCACTGGAATAAACTGTGCGAAAGTCATACATAATTTTATTTTAGATTTGGTATGTGTTGTTCAATGAAGACTAAAATGTGTTGTGATAATCACTGATACAGTTCACCAAACCTTTTCCATTTCCTTCCACTTTGGCTAGACTGTATTTCATGGGAATTTTGAGATCAGTTAGGGCCATGTGACTCTTTCTGGCAAATGAGATATGAGCAGAAGTGAAGCGTCACCTTCTGACTGGGGTGGTTGTTTTCCCTGATGAAGTTCCCAGAGCTCTCCTTCCCCTCTGAGACAGAGAGTCATTGCTCTGTCAGGCCATCCTCCTGAGTCATTATGAGGGGCTGATCCTGTTCCGCCTGCCATAATGGAAGTACAGCTTTCATTAGAAATGAACCATTGTTGAAATATTATGCAGCCATAAAAAACGATGAGTTTGTGTCCTTTGTAGGGACATGGATGAACCTGGAAACCATCATTCTCAGCAAACTGACACAAGAGCAGAAAATCAAACACCGTATGTTCTCATTCATAGGCGGGTGTTGAACAATGAGAACACATGGACAGAGGGAGGGGAGCACTACACACTGGGGTCTGTTGGGGGGAAATAGGGGAGGGACAGTCGGGGGTGGGGAGTTGGGGAGAGATAGCATGGGAAGAAATGCCAGATATAGGTGATGGGGAGGAAGGCAGCAAATCACACTGCCATGTGTGTGCCTATGCAACAATCTTGCATGTTCTTCACATGTACCCCAAATCCTAAAATGCAATAAAATTAAAAAAAAAGGAAATAAACCATTGTTGTTTTAATTCATATGACTTTGTTTTAAGTCATACAAATTTGTTGTTTGTTATTGGAGCATGACCTAGCCTATTGTATCTGATACACTTATTTTATCAAGTTCTATTATGAATCAGAGAACTACTTCAATCCTGACTTTTTCTGTCTCTTATTAACAAAAATAAAATTATGCTTTAGCTTCTGGGGTGTTTTTTAAATAGCATATTCTTTTATTCTTCATTAAATATAT